AGCCTTTCGTCACAAAAAAAAAACAATTGCTGAAATACAAGAGAAATAGGATAAATGGCATTGGATTTTCTCCCTCTATAGTGTATGTTATTTCAGAATTTCAGATCAATGCCACTATTTGCATTTTACCAGTTTACATTTTATAAAGTTCAAAAAGCCGCATGTAAGCCCCTCCCCTTTCCATCCACATTATACGAGATGCTTCCCAGGAAACGAATCGTATGATAGCTGTTGAATTTAGAAGTTCTAACTCAAGAACTACAACAGTATCTATCAAACTATCTTTCAGAATATCAAACACAGTAGTATAAATAGATAATCAATGAAACATTATATTTTCCATTAAATTCGCCTTCAGGACTCCTGTGTATGTGCTTTCGGTTCCMTCAACGTCTGACAATGATRTTTTGCTCTCCAGATAACCCATTAAGTTCGTCTATTGATAGCTCGATCTGCTTTGCGATTTTAACTATAGCTGGTAGTGATTTAATCAAACACTTAGGGACATGTGAAGATCATCTTCTAAATAATGACAACGAGCAGGGGCGACTTGTTCCAGGATGCACTATGAGCGAAGGATYTCGATGGGATCAACAAAGGAGTCACATTGTTATCTCAAAAGTATTTTTCTTATCTGATGAACTGGATGTTATGGTTTAGATTGCGTCCATTTTAAAACAACCAGTAAGTTTACAYCTTATGTTGGTAAAATCCTTCATGGCTAACTTCATGAATTATTGACAATGATCTCTTCATTGTTCGCTTGCTCACTGAAAACTTAAGATTGTTATTAACACGGTAAATGGACAAGAAAAACATTAAGGATTCGAAATGTTTCCTTAAATTTCAGCAAGAACTGATCAAAAATCCTTTTCGAAGTCTTCAAAGGCTGAAGTTCTACTAGTGGACTCCAGAAGATGGCAATGAGAGCGAAAAATGTCAGGTATTCACATTAAAAAKGAGTTTTTTTCCTCTGCTTTTATACGATGCGTTTCTGTTATATTCTAAACAAAATTTCACARCTCCAAGCTGCCTGCGACTCTATGTATAAAATCAGTACATAAAGTTTTTTATCCAAAGTGACAGATGTTTTTTGAATGCCTATATTTTAACAAGTGACCAGCTAATGTTCTGGGTCAATAGAGATATCAAGGAAAAAGGCTTCACCTTTTGTCTAACCTGCCGTTAGAAAAAAAACACCTGCAGATCACACTGAGTGAAGACAGTTGACCGAGAACTAGACGATGTAGTTGCCTAACCATTGGAACACTGTAATTTACACTCGAGACGACATAAACATATCGTACTAAGCAATATCAGTGATTTAGCCGAGATATTACAATGGTTAAGATTACAAACGTGTTAATATACGTAATGTTCTAACTGATGAAACGAAAATATCCCATTTGCAAAACCGCGGCCAAAACATTGGTGAGGACTCAAAGGTCAATTGTCTGGGCATAGTTAAAGACCCCAGRAAAGCTTGGGTTGATGATCCACGAAAGGGTTCAGATAATCCAAGACAGTAATTGATTTCACGCTTTTTCAGGTCTTTGCAAATAATTGCGGTATGTACTTTGATTGTATTAACCGCTGGCAAGAACGGCAAAYCTCAACCCAATATCGTCATGATTGTTGCTGATGACTTGGGCTGGGATGACGTCAGTTTTCACGGCTCTTCCCAGATCCCTACACCACATATCGATAAATTAGCCAATGAAGGAGTTATATTGAATGGATACTACGTATCACCTATATGTACTCCATCGAGAGCGTCGTTCATGACTGGGAAGCATCCTGTCAACTTAGGTGAGTTTTTGTGGATACTCTCATCATACGATTGATAATCAATATTGATAGTGATATTGTAAGTAAGTCCGTAAGTCCGAAAAGGCAAGGTGAAGTGTTTTTAGAACAAGTTTGTCAGCCCTAATCCTCAAATTCAGTCCAATTTTCCTTACAATATGTTATTCAAAAAACCTGTTCATTCATCAATCCACTGCATGATTCAAAGGTATTTATTATCGTTCCTTCATTGATTTATTTAGATGTCTTTAATTTAGATGTTTGTCATTCATCCATACATTTATTTAGGTATTCAGCATGCAACAATATTTGGAACACAGCCATATGGTCTTCCGTTGGGTGAAATTACTACACCACAGTACATGAAATCACTAGGATATAAGACTCATGGTATAGGCAAGGTACACCAATAACTATTTCATTGCCACGCCCTCATGGGACAACGGATTTCTTCACCTGAAGGCGGGTTTAATATCCACCCCCAACCACGTACAGACGGTTTTGCCCCTATACATCGTGTTTTCCTATGCCCTGCTTCACATGGCTTAGTCCCTTACTTACTTCTTTTAAAAATGATTAACTCTAATTTCAGTGGCATTTGGGGTTCTTTGAAAAGGAGTATATACCGACATATCGCGGCTTTGACTCATACTACGGGTTTTGGAACGGAAAAGAGGACTACTGGGATCACTCGTCACAAGAAGACGTCTGGGGATTCGATTTACGCGATAACGAGCAGGTAACGTATCATCTTCTTACGTATCTTTTTGCGTACGATTAGTATTGTGTCTGTCTAATTTTGCCATTGTGTTTGTCTACGTATTATTTCCGTGTGCGCGTATTAAGTTGCGTCTTCTGTTACGTCCATGGTTGTTTGCTTGCGTATCATCTCAGTGAGCGCGCATTAGGCTGCATCTTCTGTTACGTCCATGGTTGCTTGTTTGCGTATCATCTCAGCGCGCATTAGGTTGCGTCTTCTGTTAAGTTCATGGTTGCTTGTTTGTGTATCATCTCAGTGAGCGCGCATTAGGTTGCGTCTTCTGTTACGTCCATGGTTCTTTGCATGCGTATCATCTCAGTGAGCACAGCTTTTAAAAGTTGTGTCTTTTGTGTGTTACGTTGTTGTTTGTTTACGTATCATCACCATGTGCGTATCGATCATTAGATTGTGTCTCCTGTTATGTCATCTAGATTGTTTACGTAAGCTGCATACAGGAAATTAAAATTCATGGTTTTAAAAGGCTCGTTTTGCTTCACCTCCATCATTMTGTGTGTCTACTACAATTATCATTTTGTATGAAGCTACTGGAATTTTCTTTTAACAGATTGTTAAAAACGAGAGTGGTCACTATGGTACCGAGTTATACGCCCAGCGTGCTGTCCAAATYATCCATGACCATAACCAATCAAAACCGCTGTACTTGTACTTGGCTCAACAGGCCGTACAYTCTGCCAATGAGAGAGAGCCGCTGCAAGCACCAACAAAACTTGTTAATGTGAGACAGTGAATCCTTTGATAACATTWTACAGTCAACTCTCGCCTTACGGACACCCCGCTACAACGGACACCTCGATATTGCGGACAGTAAAATACTGAATAAAAATACAAAGAAAAGACTGAAAGTAACTCTCGTTACTACGAACTCTAAATTACGGTCCCGCCTATGTCCGTAWTAGCGASAGCTGACTGTATTCACTTCTGTGTAAACCCTCTTTCAGTACTAAAAATCTAGCGTTTGCTTCTCTATTTCTAGATGTCCTCTAAAAGTTTTCTCTAGTTTAGTTTCCTCTAATAGTTGTGATGGTTTAACAGGAATTCTCAGGGATTCATTCTCACCCAAGACGTATCTATGCCGGGATGGTTACAGCTCTTGATATTTCTGTTGGGAAAGTATACAAAGCTTTGAAAAACTCCGGTATGCTTGACAATACTGTATTGGTATTCACGACCGACAATGGAGGAGCGCCACGGGGCTTTAACTGGTATATACAATCAATATATAATGATGTTATTTGTGTCTTGCCTCATCACATTTACCACGATGAACTAATAAAGTGTTTTGCGACTTTTGTTACAGGAATCAAGGTTGCAACTATCCTCTCAAAGGTGGCAAAGACTCGTTCTGGGAGGGAGGGGTGAGAGCGGTTGGATTTGTCCATAGTAAACTTATAAATAAAAARGCTCGCGTCAGCACACAGATGATCGACGCAACTGATTGGCTGCCTACTTTTTATCACCTTGGAGGAGGTGACGTAAGYCAGATTCAAGACGGTATAGATGGCATGAATGTATGGGATACCATCAGCGATGATCAGCCATCTCCTCGTACTGAAATACTACACAATATTGATCCAATACGAAAATTTGCTGCAATCAGGGTGAATAATTATAAACTTATTGTGAATCAAGATGCAGTTTACAAACAAACATGGCATCCTAGGTATGACGAAAAACASCAAGGTGAAAATACTAAGGTTAAAACTCTACCAGGGGCTGTAGTGGAYTGYGGACAATGGAGCACAAGTAAAGGCAATACATGTGATACATCGGAATTTCCTTGTCTGTTCGACATATCAAACGGTAAGAATASCATTCACAGCTTACTATTTCGACCAAATGCTAACARCCATCAATCAAAACTCTGCCGTACTGAGCTGCTTTCTGTTAACTATGCTGTAACAAAAAGGCTACTGCACTCTATTGACTACATCACTATCTAATAATGCACTCCACTTCTTCTTTGAGCTCAGATCCATGTGAATACAACACGATAGCAAACGACAACCTTCATATTGTAAACCAGTTACTAGAAAGACTYATTCAAATCCAGAAACAAGCTCGACCAGTATGGTTCCCTGAAAGRGATCCTAAAGCAAATCCCGCTTTATTCAATGGWTTTTGGGGACCATGGCGGRAGAATCCTGCRAACGCTAAAATACTTAGCGACATGGCAGCAAAGATTCCACAACTTGGCAAAAAGTCGAAGACCTTGAAGAAAGAAAGCAATACGAACAACCAAACAGCAGTTTACAAAGGTCATGCAGAATTCCACACAATGCTAAAAAAGATCCTTAAACATACGAAAGGAAARAACAAAGATAAAAAAGCTTCAAAGCGAACCGAAGCAAAAAAGACAACAATCTTTAGAAACGAAAAGTCACGGATTCGCAAAAAAGTGTTTACTCTGTACACAGARATGAAAGAGAAGACGCGYAACAAAGAAGGAACGACAACGTCAAGCGAGGAGAAGAACAAACTGAATTCTGGTAAAGATCACATCATAAATACCRACAAACTGAACACTATATCTCGTGTTAAGAGAAGCATTGAAGAAGCTTCTGAAAGTCAAGATGATGCAGTTCGATCCATTGTTAGACAAAGCATTGAACAGAAACACGATAGTGCAAAATCACAAGTGAACGGCAGAGATGATMTAAGCTACGTTATAAAAAACATGAAAGAAGACTCACAAATACCTCAATTTACTCATGGGAAAAGCAAAAATTACGTGCGTCGCTCTGAAATTCCTAAACCAGAGAAATCAAGGATAGAAACAATATTAGAATCGCTTTCAAAGGCTTTTGGATATAGTTAACGGTATAAACAAATACATATAGTTGTTTTTTTAAAAAATATTTTAAGCAACGCAAGAGTAAGTCCCGCTCCATTTCTACCAGTAAGACAGACTGAGAAGTGTTATAAACACTTTAATTCTAGGCCAGAAAATCCTCTTCCTGCAGTGTCAGCACCCTTAAACTGTTGGTCGAGACAACATGACCAGAATTACTGAATCATATATCATTAAACAAAATATTATAGTTAAATTTGACAGACAATTTAATGAAATGAAATGAAATGCTGGGTTCAACAACAACGCCTTTGATGGTGTTTAGTGATTCACCATTTCTGGTATTTTAACTCCGAGCTTATTACTCTTATTGGAGAAAAAAGCTTGCAGCTTGAAGTTTGAAGTTGTAAATGCGCATAAAGATCTTCCGCTCATATCTTATATATTACATACGATATAATCAATGTTAATAGACCTCTGAAGCTTTTACGTCATGCACTGTATACGCAATGCATTATAGGATATGTTTGGGACAAAACATGGTGGATTTCTTTTTGTTTTCTCTACAAAATGATCCCACAATGCATTGAAAATCAAGTAGTGACGTGAGAGGTTCAGAAGTCTATTCCATAATATTCTCTCACTGATGAGAGCACACATCKATTCGCTAATGAACCTTCCACTTCATGACCTTGTCCGAATAAAAAAYTTTTTTCAATACCAAAAAAACTCAAATTTAACCTTTTATTGCTGTAGTGCTGTTTCTTAATTGCTCCATGTTCGAATATAAGCACGGTGATACTAATGTAAAAACGACAWAAAACATTACGAAGAGGATTACTGTAGATGACGGATAGATGACGTTGTTTACAAATGCTCATGCCCGGCCGTGACGTCAATGCAAATTGTTCGTAAGCCAATCAGGATCGAGTGTGCGTTTATGTAACATTTTTATAGAAAGGTGTGTTCTACAGTGTCCCAGAGCACCTTAACCCTCGCCACAGTAGGGACGATTGTCACAAAAATTCTCTGTTACCAAGAAATGATTTCAGAAGAAGACGAAGGTAACACTACACCAGAAATCACTACCATGTTTTATATGGCCAACGGTACCCATGCCATCCTTGAAAGTCAACAAMACAGTCATTTGATCCAAGAGAATAACGATGGTGACTCCGTATCGGGGACAGATGAACAAGATAGGTAAGGGGTTTTTACTTGAGGTTTTGTTTCCTTTCTATCAATAAAACAAAAAGAAATGTCACATAAAGATATATTTATGCAGAAAAACTTTTTGACTTCTTTCTTGGTGCTGTTCGAGGGTATCCATCGAAACCAGTGACTGCATTCAACGGCCATTTAAAAATTTTCTGTCGGTTTTGAAGTCGCTGCCAAATAGGAAAATAACTATCAAAATCGAAAAACTAAGAGTCGCCTTAATCTTAAACTGGTTACGTCCGACAGGTTTTAACAGCGAAATCAGAAACATGCTTTTCATTTTTATTCGCGGAATGTTATGGTCAAAAAAAAATAATTAAACGCAGTTGAAATAAAACGTTAATTGTCAACTATGGAAATTATAATAAAAATATCGAAAAACTATATTTTTGAGGATAATTTATTTCAAATGTGTGCAAATCTGATTATATATTTTTTCAGTTACCTTTTTTTATATATACTTTTTTTTTATATTTTACCAGTTGCCTTTTTTTTTTCTAATTGTACTTTCCCTTTTTTTTCGTTTTTTTTGTGGCCGTGTAGAAAAATGTAGAACAGAAGCACTTATATATAATCTAGATAAACTTACGAAAAAAAAAAGATTAAACGCAAAAAAAAATCAAAATTTGTTTTTCTCGCAATTAAATGAATTTGCATAATACAGAGAGAACCAATCAGCAAAAGTCGGCAAAATGTTGCTTTGAAACCCTTGTTCAGTACAGAGTTTGACGTCACAAGGCTCACTTATTTCCGAGCAAACTCCGTTTTTTTNTTGTTATCTCAAATTTTTCACCACATTCAGAAAGGAGAGCGTTCAAAGCGGTTCAGGTAAGCAGTTTTTCCGACTGTTTTCAATTCTATTGGTAAGTTCTTGTTGCGCTTAATATTGTTAGAAAGTCCGTTTATTCAACGAGACTCTACTAGTTGCTTCCCTTCCCTGTTTTTTGAGTGTTCCCCTGTCCCAAAGTAACATAGTAAGGCAGCAGTCAGAATTCACAACTCAAGATTTCGATCTCGTTTTGTGTTAATAGACGGCTATTTCCTAAAAAAAACACACTTCTTGAAAGTATTTGTGTGTCCACAAGGCCGTTTGAAAACGATAACTGATCAGTGCTGGTAAAATCGCCCCGAAAAGTCAATTCTGTTTCAAGAGGAACCTTCGAGGGTGCCCGTCTCTTTCTCCTATCATCCAAGCCGGCTAAAGATGGTAGTTTTCAGCGAAACGGAAATCAATCTGATGCATACATAGTTTTGAATGAAGAAAAATATTCAATCCGTAAAATTGTCGAGTATTATCAACAACCAGAACGTCAATCTGAGAGCTTTGATGAATTACAATAATGTCGACTGGGATCGGCCGCATTTGCCTTACCTCTCGTACGTTTCAACAATTCATCCTTCCTTATATCAGTTTGAAAAGAATTGAAAACTGAGAAGTGAAATATTATGAAGGAATAATCCTTTTTGAAAAATACATGCAAGGTTTTGAAAACCAAGAAAAAACCGGCAATGGCGATTTCTGGTTTATCTAAAGTCATATGAATCATATCAACCTAGCGATATGAGATTCATGTCACAATTCATTTGTTCATCGGTTTTAATACTTTTTAAGTTACACACCGAAATACATGAAATAAATATTTAGAGTGGAATTCGGTCCTAAAGTTCGCTTTTCCTTCTCAAACAAACAACATGATCAGAAAATCCGGACATATGAGCCCGCAATCGCAGCGGTACTTCGCATAAACACAAAAACATGTTCGTTAATTTTACAAAGAAATGTACGGATCAAAAAAATTATTTGAGAATAACATTTCATCTGTTTTAACTGGAAAGATTTCAAAGATGAATTCCTAGAGGGAAACTATTCTTGATTCCACTGTAGGAAATCCAAATAAATCCAATAAGAGCGTCGTTTTTGACAATTTATTTTCCTTTCGTCGTCTCCCTTCTGCCCTTTGCCATTGTATCACCTCATGGTGAAAATCCGCGAAGAAGCGAAATTTCACCGTAGCTGATCGTGTTCCTTTACGTGTCACTAATATTTCAAAGATCATTTCTCAAAGTCAACATATTGAGGCAGAAACACAGCGATTTTCAGCTATTTTGAGACGATAAACAGCGTCCTTTTTGGTACTAGAAATCGTACAATTTGAACACACTAACTTGACGGTGAAATGGCTGGCGAAGACTCGTGTTTCACGCGAATAATTGGCCTTGATCTTCCATTTTCATTTCATTTTATTCGCCATGTTTGGTACCAAAATAAACCTTAGAAACGTGGCTTTCAGGCTGGGTTTTTACTTGCGCTTTGCGCGCAGTGGTAAATAGCGGGAAATACGAACGAAAGATTAAGTCTACGCTATTTAGTGTAAACAATGTCAGACCTTTTAAATTCCTTAGAAATGTACAAGTATAAACAAAAGATCACAATATCAACTGAGGGCTCAAATGTCCGGAATTTCTGGCCATGACAAACAAAAAACGTCTCCATCCTGGTTCGAATTACCTTCGAGGGTGAAGCGGCCGAGGCGAGCAGCATAGTGTTCCTCCTTATCTGTCATTAAAAAATATTGATGAATGCTATATCTAAACGCAAAGAAATATATGTTTAGTAAACTATACGTGGTTATTGATACTATGGGAAAAATATTAAATCATGAACGAATATCCAATCACAATATGCTGGCCGTCGAATCCATAGTGTAGATCCACTACCAGAAAGTCAATCTTATTCCGTGTGGAAAGTTGATAGTTGAACCTGTAAACTGACGCGACGGATTTTTTGTTTCAGAATCGAACAGCTTGAGTTTTGAACAAAATTGGTTCATTTATTTTTGAGAAAAAACAAACAAACAAACACATCACTCCGTAAACTTGAATCGACTCGAATCCGAAAGATATTCGTCTTTGGGCGCCGATGTGATATCCCCTAAAATTTATCTTTTCAAAGAATATTCAATGATGGTAAATTCGTAGCATTATGCTTCAATTTGCAATAAGTTCACTCTTCTTTCTAAAACAACATCTTGAATAGTACGCCAATCGTGTAGCGGTATTTCGAATATAGTTAACGTATGTCCATATATGGCAACTATTTACTATAAAAGGTGTCATTCTTATTAAGCATATATGGCAATATGACGTACTTTGTCGTTTTCATACGTACTCGTAGAATAACAGCTATTGGTCGGAACTTCAAGTTTGATTTGATATCTCAAATTTTTCACCACATTCAGAAAGGAGAGCGTTCAAAGTCGTTCAGGTAAGCTACTTTTTTCGACTGTTTTCAATTCTTCTAATTATTGTTAAAAAGTCCGTTTATCCAACGAGACTCTTTCTACTAGAGTTGATTCCCTTACGTTTTGAGTGTTCCCCCGTCCCAATATCATAAAAAGGCAGCACTCAGAATTCACAACTCAAGATTTCGATCTTCACCAGAAGTAGTTATCTTCTGTTCTCACTCGTTTCGTGCTAATAGACCTATTTCCTGAAAAAAACTTCTTTAAAGTATGTGTGTGTCATAAAGGCCATTTGAAAACGATAACTGATCAGTGCTGGTAAAATCGCTCCGAAAAGTCAATTCTGTTTCAAGAGGAGCCTTCGAGGGTACCCGTCGCTTTCTCCTATCATCTAAGCAGGCAAAAGATGGTAGTTTTCAGCGCAACGGAAATTAATCTGATGCATACATAGTTTTGAATGAAGAAAAATATTCAATCCGTAAAATTGTCAAGTATTATCAACNATTAAGAACAGGTCTACCATCTAGAATCACGCAACATGTCATCTATACGCAAGATCAGTATTTCCTTGAAAAAATATGAAAAAATATGCTGAATTCCTTTAGAGTTTGATCTTGAAGAAGAGGAAATCAACGAGTTTTGGTAACGTTTTGTTGCCTTCCTTCATAGGTGATTTCACAAGGATTTGGGATTTCCATTTGGAAACAAGCCAGAAAAGAAGATAGCGGGAGCGGAAGAACTTTTTAGCTTTCAAGTTTCTTTCCAGTCACGAATCGGATTCATATATTAGCAGCATTTGGCATAGTTAACTTATATCCATATAAAGTATACATCAACCATGGCAAAAACCGTGTATATATAGAGGATATTACATGGGCGCGCGGAGATACGGATTTTATCTTCGAGTGTTGAAAAGATCTCTCACGAGTGGGAGATTTTCAACACGAAATATCGCGAAGTGATTTCACCACAGCCAGGAACCATGAATGAACCTTTTTAGTCGGACTAGCCGAAGGCTAGGTCGACTTAAGTTTTACCTTTTAGCCAATCTATCTATCTATCTATTTAGAGAGTTTATGAATAAAACTCGTCAAACCTCTACAGGCCTGTTTCATGAGGCAAAGCCTCAATCTTCAGGAGTTTATTGTTTAGCTCAATAAACTCCTGAAGATTGAGGCTTTGCCTCATGAAACAGGCCTGTAGAGGTTTGACGAGTTTTATTCATAAACTCTCTAAATACTTCAGCTCTGCCTAGCATCGAACGCTCTACGTGGAGTAGACCACCGGAAGTTAAGAATTTAATAATTAACTATTGGGTTGGCTGTGTTATTATATGACCGGAAGCTCAAACGTATAGATGTACGAATACATCGTTAGTAAATGATTCTACTTGCACTTTTATGTGATAAAAAAACTATTCGTTTAGAAATGTGGTATCTGTGATCTCATCGGAATGCATCAGTCTAGGTATCATAAGTACGTGCATGTGCGGATCGCATGGAGCTTCGAGTAGTATGCTTACGGAACTGAATTCTAGCTCTAGACAGTCTTGATTGGGCAAAGATTTCAAATTAGAACAAGAAAAACTTTGTTTATCAATAACAAAAAGGCGACTTTGATTATTTTATTGGCATCTTTTCAAAAGCATTTATTTTCTTGGCCTGAGAGGTCAACAATTTGMATTAAAAACGTATTAGATATGATATCACTTAGAGACATCTAGTCTCTAAGTATTAATCACATGACCTTTTAGGTCAAAATTTAGATTTCTATCGTTTTGAAGTCGTTGCAGAGTGAGCAGTCAAAAAGGATATCGTATCGTGTGAATAAATGGTCACGCATTCTTGCTTTCACTATGTATTAGAAGTAAAAAATATAATATTCTACGCCATGATATACATTCAAAAATAGCTAGTCCGACTTCACGCTCCAAGAGCGTCTAGTTTCAGAAGGACAACAGAATTAGTTGATATTGTAAGATTATATTTGTGTCATATGTTCGCTTTTCTGTTCGAAAAAAGTTGAAATAGCAGAGAAGAGGTTTAAGGAATGAAAAATTAGTTTCAATTTCACTTTTTCTTTCGAAAACAACATCTTGACGTACGTATTCTATCGACCGCTTGATAACTACGCCCATATATGGCAATTATGTACTATATAAGGTGTTATTATTATTAACTATATATGGAAATATGACGTACTTTGTCGTTTTCATACGTTCTCGTAGAATAACAGCTATTGGTCGGAACTTCAAGTTTAACTTGTTATCTCAAATTTTTCACCACATTCAGAAAGGAGAGCGTTCAAAGCGGTTCAGGTAAGCAGTTTTTCCGACTGTTTTCAATTCTGTTGGTAAGTTCTTGTTGCGCTTAMTATTGTTAGAAAGTCCGTTTATTCAACGAGACTCTACTAGTTGCTTCCCTTCCCTGTTTTTTGAGTGTTCCCCTGTCCCAAAGTAACATAGTAAGGCAGCAGTCAGAATTCACAACTCAAGATTTCGATCTCGTTTTGTGTTAATAGACGGCTATTTCCTAAAAAAAACACACTTCTTGAAAGTATTTGTGTGTCCACAAGGCCGTTTGAAAACGATAACTGATCAGTGCTGGTAAAATCGCTCCGAAAAGTCAATTCTGTTTCAAGAGGAACCTTCGAGGGTGCCCGTCGCTTTCTCCTATCATCTAAGCAGGCAAAAGATGGTAGTTTTCAGCGCAACGGAAATTAATCTGATGCATACATAGTTTTGAATGAAGAAAAATATTCAATCCGTAAAATTGTCAAGTATTATCAACRACCAGAACGTCAATCTGAGAGCTTTGATGAATTACAATAATGTCGACTGGGATCGGCCGCACTTGCCTTACCTCTCGTACGTTTCAACAATTCATCCTTCTTTATATCAGTTTGAAAAGAATAAAACTGAGAAGAAGTGAAATATTATGAAGGAATAATCCTTTTTGAAAAATACATGCGAGGTTTTGAAAACGAAGAATTAGATACAGGCAATGGCAATTAATTTCTGGTTTATCTAAAGTCATACAATCATATCAACCTAGCGATATGAGATTTCACAATTCATTCGTTGATCGGTTTTAATACTTTATATATTACACATCGAAACACATGAAATAAATATTTAGAGTGGAATTCGGTCCTAAAGTTCGCTTTTTCTTCTCAAACAAAAAAACCTTCGAGGGTGAAGCGGCCGAGGCGAACAGAATAGTCCTTGTTATAGTCATTAAAAAATATTGATGAATGCTATATCTAAACTCAAAGAAATATATGTTTAGTAAACTATACGTGGTTTTTGATACTATGGGAAGAATATGAAATGCTGAACGAAAATAATCCTTAATATTATCCTTCATTTAACTTCGATCTTTAGAGAGCTTGACAAAATATTGTAGTATTTTTTGTCAATGCTGGCCGTCGAATACATAGTGTAGATCCACTACCAGAAAGTCAATCTTATTCCGTGTGRAAAGCTGATAGTTGAGCCTGCAAACTGAATATACTGTTTTTGAAAAAAACGCGCCGGATTTTTTGTTTCAGAATCGAACAGCTTGAGTTTTGAACAAAATCAGTTGGTTCATTTATTTTTGAGAAAAAAACAACAAAAAAACACATCACTCCGTAAACTTGAATCGACTCGAAGCCGAAAGATATTCGTCTTTGGGCGCCGATGTAATATTCCCTAAAATTTTATCTTTATTTTCAAAGCTTGTCAACGCAGCCTCAACGAGAAATTTCTAATCTTAACCTTAACTGAAGCAACGAACGAATCATTGAACTTTCTTTGTTGCTATGGCTCTTCAAGATCGAACACGTTCCTATGGAAACCGTTTCCTAGGAAACTGCTATGTATATAAAGGAAGATATCCCAATGATAATCTTCCCCAATCGAGTAGTTACTTCGTTTACCCGATGCCACCAAGTTCCTTGTACTACTCATGTTTGCCTGCCACTAATATGCGCCAGAATCCAATTCTACAGCTTGGTGAAACAATGAGTGGAGCCATTGGTATCCCATCCGATTACTTGAATGATTTTGGCTACTTCCAACGTTTTAAAGATGAGGGAGACCAAGACCGGAAAAGTGACGTATTTCATTTCACTGGACATGATGCAATTATACAACATACCGATGATACAAAAAGGAACATCAACAATTCTCTTCACAAAAAGGTCTGTCTTCTCTTCCTCGCATCTAATTCATAATTTCCCCATTCTTTCCTATCCTATTTCAGATTTCTTTAAGTCCACAGTGCCTCAGTCTATTCCTTAACACCAGTCCATGCTCTATTTTCTTCGCCTTTGTATGTAGGTGGCACATAGCTCTTCCACCAACATTTCCCAGTCTTATCTGTTCTTTGATTCAATTCTTTTCGATCTCATTCTAGGTCTTGTATGCTCTTGAATTCTTTCTCGATGATTTGTCTTCAGGTCTCTTCTTGTATTTTGCCTCCTTTGCAGACGTCCTGTCCTGTTGGGGTTGAATTCCTAACACGACAGGACATCCAAGCAACTGATCTCAAATCAAAGAGAAATGCCTGATCAAAACTTATCAAAAGTATTCAATTTTTAAGGAAATGACAACCAAGTGTTCAATCTGTGAGAAAGTGTACTCACGAAGTTCAACGCTCAAAATCCATCTCAGGACCCACACAGGGGAAAGGCCTTTTAAGTGCAATGTTTGTTCCAAATCATTTTCGCAGAATGCGAATCTGCGGGCCCATCTACGTATTCATACTGGCGAGAAGCCATTTAAGTGCTCTGTTTGTGATAAGAGGTAATCATCGAGCTATACCTACACAATTGTTGATCAGGGTCGACTACAAATTGATTTGGATGGTTGATTCATCGGATTGATTAATTGTCGATTGTAGGACTGACTGGCTGATAGATTTATCATCCATAACTGCATGTTATACTTTTAGTTTTACCCAATCTTCGTCGCTGACCTTGCACATGCGCGTCCATAGCGGTGAGAGGCCATACAGATGTAACATCTGCCTTCGAGGTTTTGCATGCAGCTCTACACTCACCAAGCATCTACGTATTCACACTGGAGAGAAGCCGTACCAGTGCAAAGTCTGTGATATGAGATTCTCGCAATCAGGAAATTTATCCAGGCATATGAGGTTGCATGAAAAGATTGTATACGTATAAGCGGTTTCACCAGCTTTTCCCCAAGCATTGCTCACTTTATTTAAATTATCCTATCTTTTTATTATTCATTTTTTTWAATTCATTTTTTAAATATTTTTTTATCCATGTACACCTACTTGCAGAAACGTTGTCATAGAAAATAGAACATTTGAATTTAGTAAAAAGGAATAAATTAAAACAAGACAAAAGA